TATATAGTGGTTTTCATGCCTTTCAGAAATTAAAGGATATTTGGCCAAAATAACTTCTTTGATAGAATATTAAGGACAATACTAAGTTTCATGTTCTTCTGAACCATGAATATTGAAATAGGGACAGTGCCTTAGCAGAAAGGCAATTTGCAAATACCCTGTGCTAAATGTTATAATTTCTTTTGTAAAGAAATGAGAACTATCTTAGAAAACACTTTACCTTACTCAAGAAAAATTGCTATTATTTCAACTCCTAGTGCTTGTTTCAGTATTCATTATAAGGCAATAAATCAAGAAGTGATTTTGAATCTGTCCACAGCAAACCGAAACACAAGAAAGTAACATCCTTAATCACATTTCCAAACTCATAATTTGACTCTTCTCCTGAAAATTATAAAATATGCTTATCAATAAATGTGGCAGGCTCAGAACAAAACAAATATTACCTGTCTTCAAAGAAATTTTCTGTGCCTTTGGTGTATCATGTATGTATTCCTGTGTTTATTTTTGACTTAATATTTAATAATACTATTGTTTCTTCCATAGGGAGACGCAATGAAGTTGTCATTACTGAAAATAATAACAGCATAACTGAACAAATCACTGATGTTGTGAAGCAACCAGCCTTTATAGCTGGTATTGGTGGTGCCTGTTGGGTAATTTTGATGGGTTTTAGCATCTGGTTGTATTGGAGAAGAAAGAAGAGAAAGGGACTCAGTAATTATGCCGGTAAGAGACTGTTTCCAGCTAAGAAAATCTTTTGTCTTTATGAATGTAATGAAATGAAAGGAAGGAATGGAATGGAAAAATGAATGAGTGATTTTGCTTGTATTAAAAATCTCTATAAAATGGAATTGTAAACAGTATGCTTTAAAGCATTGCTCTTGACCAAATCGCTTTATAACTACAAGTCAATCTTTTTGCTTGTATCACCAATGAAATATAACAAGAGTACACACTGATAAAATGTTTAACCTCCTTTCTTATCTAGTTCTTTAAAACCATACACACACACACACACACACACACACACACACACACACAGACACCCCTCACAGACTTCGCATGCTATGAAGCCATTGTTTGAGAAGTGGATTTAAGCAAGAAAATTACTAAATGTACAGAATAAAAGGAAAAATTTGATTAGCTTGGTGTAGTGATGTGCACCTGTAGTTCCAGTTACTCAGGAGGCTGAGGCAGGTGGGTGGCTTGAGCCCAGGAGTTTGAAGTTGCAATGAGCTACAGTAACACCACTGCACTCTAGCCAGGGCAACAGAGTAAGACCCTGTCTCGATGAAAAAAAAAAAAAATGAAAAATTTGAAATATAGCTCTTAGTATGTTAGGATGTAGATTACAATACAACATGTCCCAGATGGAAGCCAAATTTCACCACAATTTATGA